ATCTGTGCTTTTGAAAACACTGTCGGTTGGGTTTAGGGAAGGAGGTGATCAGGTCAATCTGTGCTTTTGAAAACACTGTCGGTTGGGTTTGGGGAAGGAGGTGATCCGGTCAATCTGCGCTTTTGAAAACACTGTTGGTTGGGTTTAGGGAAGGAGGTGATCGGGTCAATCTGTGCTTTTGAAAACACTGTCGGTTGGGTTTAGGGAAGGAGGTGATCCGGTCAATCTGTGCTTTTGAAAACACTGTCGGTTGGGTTTAGGGAAGGAGGTGATCCGGTCAATCTGCGCTTTTGAAAACACTTTCAGTTGGGTTTAGGGAAGGAGGTGATCCGGTCAATCTGCGCTTTTGAAAACACTTTCAGTTGGGTTTAGGGAAGGGGGTGATCAGGTCAATCTGTGCTTTTGAAAACACTGTCAGTTGGGTTTAGGGAAGGGGGTGATCGGGTCAATTGCTGCTTTTGAAAACACTGCCGGTTGGGTTTAGGGAAGGGGGTGATCGGGTCAATCTGTGCTTTTGAAAACACTGCCGGTTGGGTTTAGGGAAGGGGTGATCGGGTCAATGTGTGCTTTTGAAAAAACTGTCAGTTGGGTTTGAGAAAAGGGGTGAGACAGCTGGTCAGTCAGTCTCCTGAAATGTAGATGGGGGAATGTAACCATATTGAACCTGGGTTTAAAAAAAAATAACTTTTTTTTTGTATTTTACCAATAGCAAACTTCCCAAATTGACATTTTAATACCCAATCTACTAATGCCTTTTAAATGAATAGCTAAAAAATATAACATTTTCTGCTTTTAGGTTAAAAACTGTCATATAAATGACCTCTTACTTTGGGTTATTTTGTGGTTCTCTTTGTTGTTGGTAGTGTAATATAAAAGTACAAAAAAGTAGTATAAACTTTCTGATCTTGTATGTCCTTGGTCAGAATTGCTAGCACTTTGGCACTTGAGTTTCCCAAATGACCATTTACTTTGACATTACACCATTTAATAAAATTTTACTTCAGTTTATTGCCAGATTTCTGGCTACTACGTTTACAGTAGTATGGTAGCAATGGCAGCATACCACCATGTTAGTTGAGTAAAGTTGTGGTTTTGCTGTTGAACTGTCATATACTGTAGGGTTTATTGCACCTCATGTTGTTAGATGAATGTTTATTGCATTGTTTTAGTGTCATATTTATTATTATGATAATGATTGCTTTTGCCATGCTTCACAAAAACACATTTTTGTAGTTACAGTGTAACCAATAACAGTGTAACCAATAACAGTATATTTTTGTAAAAAGTGCAGTTTAGGACCTAGTTTCCTAAATGACTGTGATTTATCATGCAGCTTTCTTATTAATTTAACATTACACCATTTAATGACATTTTCCTTTAATTTTCTCATGGTGTTCCAAATTCTGGCTGCTACGATTATGATTATCTTCTTGGTCATAAATGGTATAGCATAGCACCATGTTATTTGAGTAAAATTGTGGTTTTGCTGTTGAACAGTTGTCTGATCCTGCACTTATTCAGGGATGGACTTTTCTGAGGTCACAGTCCTGCTTTAGTGCTATTCTACCCTTGAGCAAGGCATTTAGCCCTGAGTGGCTCCTTTGGGACCTTTTGTGTTGGATAAAAATGTCTGCTAAATGACAGATTTCAATTTCAGTGATGACTTGTTGACTTTTTGGGTCATGTTTTGAGGGGAGTTCAAATAAGTCATCCCAGAGCACACAAAAATAAGCCTTTCCCACGATGGTTGTTACAGTCTGACACTCGAAAAAACAGCCTCACAAAGCCTCTAAAGTATAGCCTGTCCAATAGAGGTGGAGGCAGTTGTGTAAATGTGAGCCAGAGGGCTACAAATGACTCCTGTTCCTCCACTGGTAGAGCATGGTGTTAGCTGTGCCAAGGTCATGGGTTCCATATAACGTTGAAACGAAAGCAATGCAAGTCACTTTGGAGTAAAGTAGGTTTATGGTTATGAACAATTGAACACTATGTTATGTCACAATTCATGTTGTGTTATCAGATAATTGTGATTAAGGTGATTGGCTGAAGAAGTTCTGTAAAATATTTCACAGTATAAAGTCTTGTATTTGTTTTGTACCCTGTTATATCTGGGTGGTCCTGCACCAACAAATAGTAGCTTGTGAGATATATTTAGTATGCAAAATAAATAAATAAAATGAAAATGAGAACATTTATTATTCAAAAAAGCATTTAGTTGAAAATAAGTGAAAGTGAAGACTTTTAATTGTTCTAAACAAATTGAAAAAGCATAATTTTTCCCTCTTAATATTATAAGGGCCTGGTATATTTCAAACAAAATTGCAGAAATATTTAAAAATCTAACAAAAAAGTTTGTTTTGAGTTCAATTTAGCAGTTTAAAATGCCTCACCAAAACAAACTTATTGGGAGATCCTATTTTGACTCCTACATGCCTTCGAGCTACTATTGGTTTGTGATGATTATGAATATGGTGGGTGTGTTCTGGAACTCGGGCATCTTTGAAGTGCAGTGGTGCTTCTTGTTTGATGTGCAACAGGCTAGAGAAATCCATTTGTCAGTTGTTTACAAAACATTTTTTCTTACAGCACTATTATTGAGTTTAAGGGGTACGCAAGCAGCATGAAACATTTACAATTCTACCTACAGCAGAGCAGGGGTGTTGGAGATAGGGCTGCGTGATATTGGAAAAAAAATGAACATTGCGATATTTGGATTTTTTGTGATTTCTTTCTGCAATATTTCATGAGATAACTAATAAATCCTTGTGCCCAAACACTTTAAACTAGCTTTAATGCCTTTAAAAACAAGCAATTGATAAATGTTTACTTTATTATGGATAAACTAAAATGACTTCACAAAAATTCTCATGTTTTCTGAAATGTTGTACCTGGTCAGTTATAATTCTGACTTCATTTTGCATGTCCTGCTATGTGACTATTACATTTTGACACATTGTGATATCAATGCTAAAACGATATATTGTGCAGCCCTTGTAGGGCTGTACGATATTGGAAAAATTTGACACAAGCTAGGTTTCCATCCAAAGATGTTAATTAAATTTATTCGAAAACCTGTAATATCTCATAAAAGATGTGTGAATATTAGATTCCATCCAACGAGTTAAAAAGAGAAAAAATGGTCCCTTTCTGATTTAATGGTGCCAATTGTTAAGAGTAAAAATGGAATTTATTGAGGTAGGAAAATCTGTAAATCTTTTCCTTATTTATAAAATGACTTGTGCTTCAGAAGACAATGCCAACACGCAACGAACACATGGTGGCGTGAGACGTGTAGCACAGACACTCTTGACAGTTCTGGAGGTCATTAATAATATAATAACACTAATACTGAAATGGTTAAGGCATGACTATTGTGTATACACACATTGCAATGTCGCTGCACAAACGATATATTGTTTATCCCTAGTTTGCGGTCACTCAGCCATTTCAAACTTCATTTTACCTTCAAACATTCATTGATTCATTCATTGATTCATTTTCTTTCTAGTTTTCTTGTCAATAGGACCATTTTCAACTTGGATAAAAATGGTTTCTTGGTTTAGTTTGTTTTCAAACAAATGTTGCCATGGTGCAGCCTTAAGCAGGTCGCACACCAGAAGCGCCGCTCGGCGCCGCGACACGGCGCGTACATGACAGATTAAAGTATCGCACACCAGACGCGCACATTCGAATGATATTTAACATGAAACTAATCAGATGGCGCTCTGTGGCGCGGCTGAAAAATGAACTGCGTCCTGAGCCGTCGCCGGGCGCCGCCGACAGCCGCCGACTTGCGGCGCCGGTGTGTGTATCCTGATAGAAACCTATAATTAGAATTCTAAAATACGTGGCGCTGCGCGGCGCGCCGCCGAGCGTCGCTTCTGGTGTGCGACCTGCTTTAGTTGGAGTGTTCAAAACAGTAAACTGTCATTCAGTCTTTTCAAATATCTTTTTCAAACAATGAAAAAAATGTTGCTTGAAGCATACTGAACCTTTAAGGCAACGGGACCATTTTAAACTTAAAATAAAATCGGTTTCATGTGCATTCAATCAGCAAATTAAAACATTTTTTAAACATAATGTAACACTAAATACTAGGGTTGCACGGTTTACCGTTGCTATGGTAGTATCATGATACTATGGCTCCAAAATAATGCCACTTTAGTTTGTAAATGGTAGTATTATGTAAATGGTTTATCTTCAATAGATAATTTGGAAAAGTCACTAAAATGCTCATATGTTTGTGCAGCAATAGACCATGTTATTTGAATAGTCTGTGGAGCCCTTTAAGGTTGCAAAACTGTAGAATTCCTGCCTTTTATTGTAGCCTATTACATGTTTTCTAACACTTCAGTTCGAATGATCGGTTCATTTCTGTTCCTGTTATTATGATTTAATAGCTACAACAACCGTGACAATCTCTTAAAAAGAACGACTTACAACAAGTGAAGTGGGGTGCAAATAATACTTTTTGGGCTTATGGAGTTATGAATTAAATTCAAGTAGGCTTATTATAACCTAAAATATAGTATTTCTGACAGTTTGTCTTTATAATTTGAGTTATGAATTACAGTATCGCAATACTACATGTTATTGAGATATTTTAGCTGGTATAGTTTCGTAAGATAAATTATTGGTATCACGACAACACTACTAAATACTAAGAGATTTGATTCGGAAACATAACCAAAACCCAACTGTTGAATAGTAGTGTATATTTAATACATTAGTCTGTTTTAATCTTCTCCATTATTCAATCTGTTGCACTCCAAACATTTTCTTTTTACACACACTTATGCAGTTATCTCTTCAAATGCCTCTGGCCTTAATTTCATTTGTTCCTCTGTAAATAAACGCTCTCATTGAATGAGATAAAACAACAACCAGGGGAAATTTTAAATTATAACCGAAAGCAATTTTGTCTTGTAATTACATCCAAGGTGTCTCAGAAATGAAATAAACACACTGATAAATCTCTTTCTCTTTGTCTCTCTCTGCAGTGTGTGAGAGCAGGGGCGGAGGTAGCGATCCCGTGCCCAGGTTCTCTTCATCCTTGCCAACGTACCTCCCTGTGTCCTGCCAACTGCAGGGTGCAGAGTCATCCTTCTTTCTCCGGGAGGCCACACAGGAAGTGATGCGTAATGGGAGCTTGCAGACACGCAGTGAGCCCCTGTTTCTCCACTTACCAGATGCTGGTCCAGCTTCCATCTTATCGGTTAACTGTAGCTACGGAAACCTCACCGCAGAGTCGCCAGTACCACCAGAACTCCTCCAAGGGGCGCTGCCACGGTCCTTCCACACCTCGACACACCTCACGCTTGGCTGGAAGGTGAGAGCGCACCTGGTGAGCCGGAGAATAGGAGTCGAACGCTCTCAAATCCAGGTGTTGTTTTACCTGGCGGGCCGCAGGTGGGAGGATATGGATCCTCCCACTGAACTGCTCCCGTGTATTCATGTTGTGGGGATTCGTGATCCGGGTGAAGGTTCCATATCCACAGCTTGCCGACTAGAGGGAAACCTGGGAATCTGCGTAGCCCAACTTAACATCCCTACAAGTTGGTTCAATGCTCCTCCACCACGTAGACGCGGACAGGAGCCTACTCCCATCACGGTGGAGTTGCATTACTCCATCTCTCCTCCAGAGGCCCTCCGGAAGGAGTGTGTTGCAGGGAGGGTTCAAGGAAAGACTGTCGGGCAGGAAGGGGATATGCAAAGGATTGGGACAGTGACTCTTAGCGCTGGGGACAACAAAGCACCCAGAACCCGACTTAGACTGGATGGAGATGTGGAGATTCTGGCGCCCCCCAGCCCAGTGAAACAGGGACAGACTGTGGGATTTCAAGTACTAATGAATCCTGCTGCCACCACCGAACAGTTCACACTCAGGTAGGATGAAATTCATACACACACCTGTGAAGAGGTTGAATGCCATATGCTTGAGTATAGCTTTCTGCAGGGGTGTAAAAATCCAAAGATGTACCAAAGATGTTATTGAAACCCAAATTAGGTAAAAGAGGTACTAACTCAAACATTGGGTTAAATTTGGTTCTATTAATTTAAGAAAAAAAGTTGGTCACAGTTAATCCCTATTACACCTTAATTGGGTTAAAACTATCTGGCGTTTTTTAGACTGTGATTTCCATTGGATACACCAAATTTACTGTGGTGTAGGGCTACTTCTATTTACTGGTCTTGCATTTGTCTTTTATCAGTAGGTTGGCTAGTTAATGTTGACTTTTATCTTGTGTAAATATATCACACATACTTTATCGCAATACTTACAATTGTTACACATTCAAAAAAGCTTTATGAGAGGATTTCCAACTACGAAATGAGATTCTCTTTGGTGTGCTTTCAAATGAAAGCTTGCTGCATATTTAGGTCTGTCGTGTTGTGTTAAGGTTTGGGGATAGATTTAAGAAATCTAAAAATATTTATTGTTTATCAAAAATGTTTTAAGTAATTACAATTATTGAATTATTTACATATATTTTCATGATAATAGTGCATACTTCTGTTTCTTATAACATACAAATGGTATGTCTATATATAAATTATATAATCAGACTTTAAAGTCCAGGTTCAGTATGCTCAGTTGGTGATAAATTCTGACAAAAATCAGCAGAAGGTAATGCACTAATCCAACCAACATAGGCTCATTCTGAAAATGTACCCCCATATCCATTTCTAGAGATCACGAATAATAGAAGTGCGTATGGCTGCATTTTATCTTTAAAACGAACACTGTGGGGCGGTATGATGCCATTCCTTTTTGCGCTTACTAGCTGACTCCTTACCTCTGTATGGATGGCTTTCCTTCTGTTATAGGTTTGCCCATGGCTCGCTGCATACGTTGATGTACTCAGAGTTGACCACAATGATGGGGTTCGAGTGCAGTGATGAACAGATCACGACATAACAAAAGCCAAAAACTAAAATAATTATGTAAATAACAGGGTGAGAATGGTAAAAAATCAGGCAAAGAAATCTTTTTCTGGATTTCTTTTTAAAACACTGTCTGTTAGGCTTAGGGAAGTGGGTGGGCGGGCCAATCGGTGCTTTTGAAAACACTATCGGTTGGGTTTAGGCAAGGAGGAGGGTAGATTCAGTCGACAGCAACCTAGAGAAGACAGGTGCAACTGGCAGTTGCAAGAGAAATTTGACATCTCAAAAAACATACAAAGCGGCCTCTGGTGGAACAAAAACTGCAAACAAACTTACTTCCTGGGATGCATTTGATGCTCTCCAGAAATGTATATAGTGGTACATTTTCAGAATTTGCCTGGGTTGAATCCAACAAAACCATGAAAATTTCTGTCGCCATCTGCATTGTAAGTTGTATATATCTATTGTAGGCTTGGAGTGTACAATTGTCAGTTTTAACAATGGTATGTTTGAGTATTTCAGGGTTTTTTTTTTTTTGGTGATGAAAGTTAAGCAGTATTTGGCTGAGTATATTTTTGTAATGGAACCTTGCCTGGATTAAATAAGGTTGACACTAAATCCACTAAATTGGGTAAATGATTAGTTCAAAAACAGATTAGTTAGTTAACAGAAAAACAGACATATTGGGTTTGAAATGCAACTCACTCAGGGTTACCTTTTTTAAACTGTTGTGTAAAATTAGTATTTGAAATCCAACTTTTGCTGATTTTCCAAAACAACACATTTGCTTGGGGATATTACTACCATATCAAATAAATAAGGCTATTCTTTGCTTTTACAACCATTCTGCCAGCATTCAAAGTCAGTACTTTTGTCTTTTTTTACTGATTGACTGATTAAATCAATAATGTCAGCTCACACATCTTTAAAACCACAATTCATAAATATTACACATTCCTAAAATTGTCTGCTACAAAGTAAAAATAAAATCTACTATTATCACTATATTTTGTGTCCCTACTGAGTTCAATTTCAGACATCTGGCATTTCTGCCAAGTCTAGCAGTGTGCTGATGGAGTGTGTGTGTATTTGTGTGGTTGTGTGGAGAGTGTGTCTATGTAGCTGAGACAATGTGGGTGAGAAATGAAAGTATTCTGGGCTCCATTGCAGATTCATGTTGATCGCATTGTCATAAATGGTTTCTGTTAGCCGCTGGATTAGTTTCAGGCTGGTTTGCAAGAATTGTGGCACTCTAAATCAGGGCTGTCCTGTCCTGTTCCTGGAGGGCCACGGTCCTGCAGAGTTCAGCTCCAGCACACCTGCCTGGAAGTTTCTAATAATCTTCAAGAGCTTGATTAGCCGGTTCAGGTGTTTAATTAGAGCTGGAGCCGAACTCTGCAGGATATCGGTCCTTCAGGAGCAAGAGTGGACATCTCTGCTATAATGAACTTGAATCTTATGAATCTAAGCTCACTTACAACACAATCGTGATTTGTGAATAAAAGGGTTTCATTTCCACTGTTTTATTTCCATTTTTTATTATTATATATTTTATTTATTATTATTATATGTTTTATTTTATTATTAATTTAATGTAATTATTTAATTATTTTTTAGTTTTTTTGTTTTATGGTTGCAAATAGAGCTACATGATTACGTGATTTCAATATTGTATTCGGGACCTTAAGGATCAATATCAACTGATTGGTATTCACTCCACCAAATGTGATACTTTATTAAGCAGGTGATATAACAACCACTTTTTTACATAAAAAAACAAACAAATTTTAAATAATAAGGAACTAGTTAAATAAAATTGATAAATTTCACAGCTTTAGTAAAAGATGTTACTTTAGATTTTTATTGTTGAACTATAGGTCAAATCAATCTTCCACAAGGCTTAATATGTGCTGGAACAAGCTGGATATGGATCCGGCACCTCTGAAATATGATCAGGCAACTGATTTTAACAAAGAATATCAAACTAAACTGTAGCTATAGCAAACTGAACTAATACCATGGGTGAAACTAAGAGAAACGCAATTAAAAATTAATTAAAATTATATATTATATATATATTGACATAAACAATTAAAAATAAAGGAATAAATAAATACACAAATAAGGAATAAAAAAATAAATAATTAATAAAAATAAATAAATAAATAAATAAATGCATAAATGAAGGAATAAATAAATAAATAAATAAATAAATAAATAAATAAATAAATAAATAAATAAATAAATAAATAAATAAATAAATAAATAACAGATTAGGTAAGAAATAAAATAACAAATAATAAATAATTACATAAAAATAAATAAAATAAGTGAATGGATAAAAAATAAATAAAGGAATAAATAAATGCATAAATAAAGGAATAAAAATAAATACATAAAGGTATAAATAAATAAATTAATTAATTAATTAATAAGTAAATAAATAAATGCATGCATACATACATACATACATACATACATACATACATACATACATACACACAAACATGATTACATACATACATATAAGGAATAAATAAATGACAGAAATAAATTAACATAAATTAACAAATAAATCAATAAATAATTACATTAAAATAATTAAACGAATAAATAAAAAAATGATGATGATAATAATAATAATAATAATAATAATAATAATAATAATAATGATAATAATAATAATAATAATAATAATAATAATAATAATAATTATTATTATTATTATTATTATTATTAACATATAAATAAAATATCAAACCTGCAGAATTTTTATAGTTACAGTACTCCATGATTAGAGAATAATACTAATAATCTAATGATAAAATATAAATATACATAAATAAACAAACAATCAAACAAACCGAACTGCAGCAATTTTTTAATTACAGTCTGTAATTTTGAAACACTGGTGGTACTAGTAACTTTTATCATGCAGCCATACTTTCAGATGTAGATTAATTGTTCATATGTTCAGGTAAAGGTCACTTAAAATTTCACAATTTCTTCATTGTGTATTTTTAGAATTTACTACATAATCCCGATCAACCAGTCAAAGCAATTATTTACACCCATAGCGCTCTCCTAATTCAATGCTAACAACACACATGCATGCAGTTGGGTGGTCTTTCGAGTCCCGGTTCACACATGAACACACTGCTGCTCGATTACTCGCTGGCAGCTTTTCAGTCTGCAGGCCTTGGGGCTTTCCCAGACATATGATGGATTAGACTTATTCATCAGCGCACAGATAAAGCAGAGCTCCAGTCTACCGGCTGCACACGTCCTCTCTATCACTGCTGTTGAGTTTTATAATAGGCAATAATTAGTCTCTGCCATCAGCACGTAAGGATCATTAAAATGGATGAAGGAGCACTAACGTTGAGGTTGTTTCTGGGTCTCGTATAATCACTGACAAGATTTTAGCGGGATATTTACATCTGTACACACTCATTATTACTGGTTTAAGAGTACTTGTTAAATATAATGGTTTATTACTTAAGCTGATAGACGTCTTTGGGTCGTGTTTGCATTAAAACCTATTCAGCAGTGGCAGTTGTGCCCAGTCTCAATGGAAAGACATGCCTACATTTTCTCCGCCTTATGGTTGGGTCGATAGACAAAGCCATCATCTATTGCCAAAAGCTGATAGACATCATGATGCTGAGCCGGAATCGCGATCCTCCGCTCCTCCAGCTGCAACCTGCTTGTGAAAAATACACGCTTATTTACACTAATATGTCTTAGTTATAAAAGGATTTCTGATAAGCTCTTCTTCCACACTATACCAATAAAAAACACACATCACGTGACCACAAACACACACACATACACACACATACTCTGTCATGCGCTCTTGCATATGCGCACGTCTGAGTTCCAGGCAGTTAGCGGGTGCTTTGAGCACAAAACCCCAGAGAGCAGTGCACGTCAGACAGTTTATCAAGGATGTACCACTGGATCACCACTCACTATAGTTGTTAAATGTGATATTTAATTCA